TTAAAAACTTTTTAAACCATCCAATAGCTGATGCACATTTGACAGTTATGTAACATAACTCTACTGTACACCAACTTTTTTTTCACCGGACCAGCTCTCTGTAACCAAAACTAAAGATTCACATCAGGCAATGGTAGGATTCACTCTGCAAGACAATAGGGAGGTTGGCAAAGGAACAACTCAAGAATTGCTCCTTTTATTGAAGTCCTGTGGTCTCTATAATTGTTAATTATAGCTCCACTCAAGGCTTACAATCACTGCCACTGCATTTAAATATGATTGTAATTTATTTTTAAAATACTTTAAGGATACAATTAAGAGCAAAGGTTCTGCTTAGAATGCCTCATAACAGTATCCTTTGCAAAACTACCAAAGTTATTTGGAGAACAAAGGATTTGTTTATCATTTAAAACAGCCATCAGTTTAAAACTGATCTCTGCATCGAAATATAGATGGGACCTTTCTATATATTTAAGACATTCATTCAGAGGAAATTGCTACTCCAAACACTGCCTCTACACATTTTTTTCCAATAACCTTCTTCAGCAACAGAGGCGTGGGAATCTTGTGCTACAGTAAACCATTTCAAGAGAACAAATTTACTAGTTGAATAATTATAACCAAAGTATTTTTTTTTTGAAAAACAAAGCAGACAGCAATTTGGAATAAGACACAATTCTTGGATAAGACACATATCGCTGAATTATGACTTTAAAAGATAATGCTGACTCAATTGATCTAACAGGTCACCAGGTCCACCTTTTCTATATGCACAATGTTATTGTAGTAGCTATAACAGCTACAAACAAACAGCAGTGACGTGGAGCAATACTAAATTCAAATATTTCTTTTTCAACATCTGAAAAGAAGGAAGGGAATCAACACCTTTCTTAAAAACTATTCAGTACATTCAAGGAGGGTTTTTCTAGTTTCTGTCAGTGCAGGCCTCTTAAAGAAACAGCTCTAAAAGCTTATTTGGGAGACAGGTGTGCACTAACTCAAACTTACAACAGATAAAGTGAGTATACTCATTGTACCAGTTCATGATTCCTTAAGGAGGTATGCATTTTTTTTAGGTTCCCAGGACAGCTGCACGATTCCAGGAAAATACATATTTGAATCAAGGAAGTAAAATATTAGCTTACATGCACACAAAACTATTCATACTCTTTCCTACTCCCATACACAGAAGTGGAAATCACTGGCATAGCACAAGTATTAATTTTGCAGGGTACATATACAGTCATTATTCTTAATCATCCCTTTCTGAATTTCTATCCTTTACTCAATGTGTTTCATACATATGAAATTATTTTATACAGTTCAAATGACTGGTCCACATATGCAGTACTTCCGTCTCATCCAAAATACATCTATGGCTACCTAGGATATGGTAAAATAGGATATAAATATTTTAAATAAACAAATAATCTAATGAACAATGAAGAAAGGTCACTTGTCTTGCAATTGGCTTTTCTTGCATAATCCAATCTCTTATCAAATATTTGTTCCTTCAGCATTCCTAGTCGAGATAGAGGTAACTATACATCTGAATTTAACTTCAAAGCAGTGGCAACAACTTAAATTCATTAAATAATAAACCATATGTATGTCCTGTTCGTTAGGGCTATGCACTGTTTTTTAATATACAGGAACGTAAAGCCTACAGCATCTACTTGGTCCTTTTTAAAGCAGTGGCACCTTTTTCCTGGATTCATGAAACATCTACTTTAAAGAGTTGTGAGTGGGTACAGTCTTGTATTCTCTTCAGTACTTTGTTTCTAACAGAATCCAAAGTACCCTGCAATACTAGTATTTGTATTAAAGCTAGGCAAGTTATTTTAGAGGGCTCTGAGCACTCCTCCAGATCTGGTCAATGAAGCAGATGTTCCAAAGCACTCCCACAACTTTCCAATGCTTTGAAATACCACCAAATGATTTATACAAGCCTAATTCATACTTTATTCTATGCCGAACAGGGTGGTTCTACATATGGTTCACAGGTGGTCTATTTTCCAAGTACTTAGACAGCCAAAACTGCCTTTCCCAGATTGCATGCAGCTTTAGCTTCCTTGAACAATGTTAACACACCTTCAGGTCATTCAAATATAGTCACTGGCTCTGATCCTGGAACCATATCACATGCTTTCTATATTGATATCATATTGAATGTAATCATTATTGTTAAAAAAAATAGGCAGCATTTAGAATCTAATTTTCCTTTTTCCATTAGTTTGTAATAAAACACGGGCAATAAACAAGTTGATTCATCCCCCCCATTTTAGCTTTTTTCTGTCTTTCATGCATTACTAATATTTTCCTGCAATTCAATAATCCAGACTACTAAAAAGAGTTCTACATGATTTCAAAATAAGTTTGATGTCCAACAGATTTCCTACTTATTAATATGAACAGCCTGTTGTTTAAAAAAAATAAATTCATACCACAATCTACAGGAAAATGCAGTCTGTAAGTATAATTTCTTTTGTGCTACTACTAACAACACTACACATAAGCAACATACAAGACTAGTAAGATTTGCAAAACAGTGTACTTTCTGTGTAACCTCTTTGTTGTTTAAGCCACTTTGTAAAGTATAATATATAATATACTGTGTATGTAGAGGGGAAACTACTAGGACTGACCACCCTCTCAAGATCTTGGGCTTGGAATTATGTGCATCAGAAACAATATCTATTTGTTTCAGAATATTTTTAGATTGACAGGCTGTCATGTGCTGAACTACCTGTTCTTTATTTTGTGTACACAATCATAACGTACAATTGGTGCAACTGTTAACTCTTTATACGATGTATAATCTCTGAGAATGTAAAAGAGAGAGAAAACATACTTCTTCAGTCTGTCCCAACTGCATTTGGCTTCTGCAACATCCCTCCACCCTCAAAATCCAGGGCCAATAAGTTGTATTCCAATCCTACACAACAGAAACAAGTCCCCTCCCAACACACTTACTCACTGTTTGTGAAGAAATGACTATTTCTTTGAAGGCTTTTTCAGCACCTGTCCCTGCATAAAGAGGCTCAAGGAAAGATCACCAATTTCTTATTGGATTTGGAAGTACTGAGAAGTAGCAAAAGTTCCCATTGCTTTCCAGTGTCTCAAACACCCACCATGAAGATGGGATTCCATCCTTCTGCTTCTCAGTGAAGAAATCCCACATATGGCTCCAGTAGATTTGAAATGCAACACTTGGAAGCAGAAATATCCAATGTGGATCCTCAGAGCGGTCATTGCTCCTGTAAGGTTTCTGTACTGCTGTTAGCTATGCAATTTAAAATTTCTGCACTGCTATCAAGCAATTTAAGCAGGAATATACCTCTGAGTAAACAAGTATTTTGCTTATGGCATTTGTACCTTAGTGCAACAAGCAAGCACTCGCCCTCTAAATAAGTTAGACATTCCTAATATTAAAACTTGATAGGCGTTAATGAGAAATTCATACATACATTACAAAAATACTTGTATTTGCACAACCATGTGCTTTGCAGTTCTTGTCTTCTTAACTGATAGGAGACAAACTGACCCACATATATCCCCAATAAAAATAGTATGTCAAGAGTACTGAAAAACTCAGCCAAATGGGAAAATGCAAAGAAAAAAATAGTGGACTTCAGGCTAAGTAACCATTTATATGTACTATGCACAAAATGTATATTCCTTTTAAATTATTGCTAAGCAATTTATAATAGTTGCATCATAATATTATTCTAAGATATTTGCCTCTACTACCCTACTTCCTAGATGTTCACTATTGTCGTCCCCCACAAGATTTAAGGGCATGTGAAATAGTTTTGATGAAATTTGCATGATATGAAACTTCTCTCCTTTGAAATAATGTTTGGGTTTTAATTCTCCAATGAATGAAAAGGAATGTTTCACGCTTCCTTGTTACACAGCATTTGTTTCGGCTTTCCATAGCTCTCCCCCAAAACCAACCCAGGAAGAGAAACCACAGAAATCTAATACTCTTGTGGCAAGGCTTTGCACTAAATTATCTGTATAGTAAGCCAAACATAGTTTTAGGTTATAATTAGCCCACCTGTTTCCTCCATTAACATGCAAATACACTTTCTTGTTCACAGACTGCATGAGATTTCCCAGTCCTTGCAAAATATCACATTAAATCCACATAACTACTCAAGTTTATTTTCAATATGCGCAAGGAAGGAGCAGGCACTATCTTTCAACACTTAGAAGCCCAACAATAAGCTTTTTTCCCCCTCAAGTTGAGCCGACTTGCCCTTTCCAGAGCTAAGGTGGATTGTTTTACCCAAGCTAACAGGAATGCTTTGGAAGGTGAATTACTATTCCACCAGCACAGCATACCATAGTCACATTCCTCTCCGCCAAGGGTTGCTAACTTATCTTTGCTTTCAAGCTGAGCTTTTCCTCTTCCCCCAACCTTTAAAGAAATAATAATTACTTCCTCACTCAAGCACTCAGGGACATTCAGAATATATCTTCCCAAGTTTCCACAACTCACAGAAAACTGAACTTTACTAAGGAACAAGGAGCACCGAACCCAGCTCAATTTACAACCAAGTTTCGGGTCTTTGTATCTTGTACTTTTCAAGTAAGGTGCACAATACAACGCTGAGCATGTTTATCCAGCGTCTTTATTCGGAGACTCTTCTCCCTTCAAATTCAGCCAGATTTGCCTTTCCCAGTCAAAACACCGCCAAGGCAAACAGACTGCTCCTCGCCCCTCAGGAGGGCAGCTGGCCACCGTCTTCCATAAGACCCATCATCCCCAGAGCTCTCCAGAGTGAAGCACTTGACCTCTTAACCAGGTTTTTTTTAAAAAAATTCTTTTGAAAAGGAAGGGGACACACTAAGAGGTGGAGGAACAGGGAAGCCAACTTACCCCTGTTGAACTTCGCGGGTTTACTAAACGGGGCGTCCCGCTCGCCTTTTGCCCCTCGGCGACCAAAAACTACCTTTCGGGGGTAGGGGAACCAGGAAGGAGAGCGGGTGCTTACCTGGAGAGAGCCACGTCGCTCGGGGCCGTGCAGGTCTGACCGTCCATTTCTCTTTAAGACGACTGTAAGCTGCAGGTCGAAGTCCGGCGAAGGCAGGAATGCAAAACTACGCCTACTCCCTGCAGGGACCGAAAGAAACCGCCTGGGTCTCAGCTCCCTGGCGGCCGCCTGCCCGCTCCCCGCCTCACCTGTCTGGAGCCGCCGAAAGCTTAGACTCTGGTGGTGGCGGCGGCGGCGGCGGTGCTGCTTTCCCGCCGCTTCGGCGTCCCTGAAAGGAGACTCCGCATTCTCCCTGTCTTCTCCCCTCCTCCTCCTCCCCCAAAGCTGCTTCTTAGCACCGGTTGCCCAGCTGGCACGGCCGCGCACACGCCTCCCCCTCCAACCCCCAAAGGCTCTTCTCCTCCTTTCCCGGAGCTCAGCGGGAGCCGGGCACAAGGGATGGGAGGCTGCTTTGAAAAAACCACACCTTGGAAAACTTCGCCGGGAAGGGAGGCGGAGAACCAGAGGGGAAAAGCAAAATAAGCTTTCCCGGCTGCAAACGCCAGAGGGAAGCCGCGCTTTCCTGCAGCGCCAGAGCAGAGCTCCCTTCGGAGCGCTCTGCCCGCCTCTTCTTCCGAGGCTTGGGTGTGTGCGTGTGGGGGGACGGGGGTGGGGACGGGAGAGTTAAAGGCTCCCTGGCTTCTTCCCCCGTTTCCCTCTCGGCGGGATTCCCGCCTTCCTCGAGCTGCCCTTCGCCTGACCAAGCGCTGGAGCAGCTGTTTCCGCGACAGGCTGGGAGTTGCAGCTGCCTATTCCCGCCGCCGGGGGTAAGGAGGCGTGCGCTAACCGGACTTGAGGAGAAGAGCCTTCAACAGGTGGGGTGGAGGAACGCGGATTGCTTCGGGCGTCGGAAGAGATTAAACCTGTTAACGTTTCGCCCGGGCCTTTCCGAATCCGCCTCAGCGCGCAGCAATCCGTGTTTACCGCTTGGCTTTTTTGCTCCGGCTTGGGAAGAAGCGGCATTGCCGTCGGTCAAGACATACCTGCGTGAAGGTGCAGGCAGCGGTGCGCTTTCCACTCTTTGGCCTGCAACCCACCCCCCCACCCCTCTGCAAAACCTTAGTTCCCCGCTTCGCTTGATTGGGTGGTTTTGCTTGAGAGAAAGGAAAGCCCCGAAGAAAGGTTTTTTCCCCTTTTCTCTCTTCAACGCCCAAAGCGAATTGTGGATCTCTCTAAACTTTGGCCTTTCTTCTAGTTTTTCAGAATTAGAAAAATCTTAAATACATCTGAACAGACTGTCTCTAGAAAAGCAGATATACTCTGCTTTGTTTAGAGGCAGTCTCTCTCTCTCTCTCTCTCTTGCCTAAGAAGGCAATGGCGAGTCACTTTTCGAAAATCTGGCCAAAAAAATCGGCCAGAGGTGTCCAGACAGTAGCCAGGAGTCAACACTGACTTGAAGGCATTTCCCACCCACCCCCAAAAAGTGGGGAGGGAAAACTGGTGATTGTATTTCAATGAGCACACTAAATACCATTGGGGGGGGGGGAATCTCTTAAGACTCTTAAAGATTTAGGGGCTTTCCCTTGTTACTCCTAACCATGATACAAACATACCCTGGCAACATGGTTTTTTTTTCCCTCATGGCCTCTTGACATTGCTGTCAGCTCATCCCCCAGCCCTTGAGACAGGCTTAAGTCAGTCATTATCTGTACTTATGCTAAAGTAGTGTTTAGGAACTTACTCTGACCCTCAGAGAGTACAAAGTCTATGAAGTATTGGCTCCTGGTTTTCCTCACTGCCCTGACAAGAACCGCAGGTTTCCTGTTTTCTGCCAAAGTGAAAGATGGATAAAAAGCATTTTATTTCAGCAATGGGGAAAAAGCTGTCAAGAAGTAGTTGACTTCACTGGACTACTTACATAAGCACAACAGGATCTGTTAAACCAGCATTTGCAATGGCAAAATACCGTAAAATAGTAACTTGTGTACAGGCAGTCCTCGACTTATGACACTTCATTTGTGACCATTTGAAGTTAAAACGGCAGTGAAAAATATGACTTATGACCTCACAGGCTAGTCTCAAGAATTTCTGAACGTCACTGAATCGGTTACAGTTAGTAAATTTTTCAAAAGCATTTGGTGTATCTTACAACTCATTTTTTAATTATAACTTATCAAGTTTAATTTAATTATATACATACAGTGTTTTACCATGGGGTTGCATTTTATTAAATGAACATGGCTAAAAATGATGTTGGATCAGCTTTGCATTTAGTCAGCAGAAGTATGATTAAATGAGACGACTACATTATAAGGCAAAATGGTTAATTGTCTGGATATTGCATAACTCCCTTTAAAAAAAATTAAAACTCAACCTAATCTCATTTTAAAAGTTCAGTGCATTACTTTTAGAATAAAAGCCTTTGTTCAACTTATATTTACACTATGAATTACATAATAAAAGGAAACTGGCAAATAATTATTTTCGTTGTGCTTCTTGGTATTTCAGCTTGTTCTTTGGTAAAAGACATCTGCACACAGTGGAATTTTCCACTATGCAGGATAAATCAACATAAGGAAAATCCCTTCATTGTTAAGTGTTCCTTCTTTAAATTAACGAGGATTATTTTTTTTCTGCAGTTCCCAGCTCAAACATCACTCGCCTCCCCCCCCCCGCCCCGCCACCTTAGATTGGCACTGACCCTGCTGGCTTTAGGAAAGTAGCAGTAGCAATAACACTTAGACTTCATAGCGCTTTACAGCACTCTGAGCGGTTTACAAATGTCAGCATTTTGCACCCAACAATCTGAGTCCTCATTTCACTGACCTTGAAAGGATGAAAGACTGAATCAACCTTGAGCCAGTCAGGATTGAACAACTGGCAATGGACAGAGTCAGCCTGCGATACTACATTCTAACCAAGGCACCACTACAGCTCCTAAAGGCCCTAAAGACATGGCTGTGTGACCATACTTAGTGGTCTACCAATGGTGGGGAGCCTTTACACCTGTAAAGGAGCTTGATGCAAGGATGGACTTTGGCTGCTGGCCAGGGTAATTCTTGTTTCCTATTTCTGATGTTTTATATGTTTCTGCATTGGTTTTTAACCTTTTTATTGATTACTGTTTTAACGGTTAAAAGCCCCTCAGAGACAGTTAGGTGAAATGGGCAGCCCTACAAATCAATCAATAAATGCATACATTATTCAATATAGTTATTCCCCATTTTCAGTTTTCTTGCTTATAGATGCTGGGAAGTTAACATCCTGATTGCAAGATAAACAAAACAACAGAGTTGGAAGGGACCTTGGAGGTCTTCTAGTCCAACCCCCTGCTCAGTCAGGAAACCCTATACCATTTCAGAAAAAGGGTTGCTCAGTCTTTTCCTAAAAACTGCCAGTGTTGCAGCATTCACAACTTCTGGAATCAAGCCGTTCTACTGATTAATTGTTCTAGCTGTCAGGAAATTTCTCCTTAGCTGTAGGTTGCTTCTCTCCTTGATTAGTTTCCATGCATTGCTTCTTATTCTGCCTTTGGATACTTTGAGGAATAGATTACTTATTTATTAATCAGATTTATATGACCGTCCATCACAGAGAAAATGACTCTGGGCAGTGTGCAACAATTCAATAAAACGAATTCTTTCTGGACACGTGGAGAGCCATTACCTAGACCAAGATGAAAACAAAAGTCAGAATTTCCATTGGAATTTTGTTTCCTGATGTCATAAAAAGACAGGGTTATAGAGCTGGGTTAGATAAACAGTCCTGGAAATAACAAACCGGAAGAGTGGGGAATGAAAATTTGCTATATGGTGACCAACAACTGTACTGAGACTATTTTATATTAAAGAAAAATGTACTAAAGTTGCTTATTTGGATTCCTCTGTCTTTCAGAGTAGAGTTAAATACCAAGTCAGACTTACTGTGATTACTTTTTGTAACCAATGACCTTTGGTTTAATTGGGAAGATCGCTTTTCTTTGTCCCAAAGGAAAGAATATTTTAATAAAAATGTCATGTATATGGGGTTCGTGCTCATCTTAAGTAATGGAGTGGCTGAAGAATATATATAAGTATCCTATCTTTCATTGTACTGTCTGCTGCAGGTTTCAAAGTTTCTTTTGTGGAACTTTTTGCAGATCAAGAAGCAGGGCTGCCCATAGGAGATGCAGAGAAACTGAAAGATGTGTAAGAAATAAAGAATGGAGCCCCCTTACAACTATAAAAAGTCAAAGTCCCAAGAAATTCTCCATCACCTTGATAGTTAGTTTATTGGAAGCCCTCCCTGTCAGCAGGAAGAATATGATGCAGGTTGTTATACAAGTGTAATACACAGAGAGGAAAAGCCAGTAGTATATGCCTATAGTACTACGTTGTGTGGTCTTGTCCTGCTTCTTACGCTTTTTGAAAACTCCCACAGAAGAAGTCACATTAGCATTACCCCTTTTAAATCACTTGATGATGAAACATTATCCATATTTCCTAGCTGTGAAGAAATTCATAATGTATGCAGGCTTAATGTATACAGGAGAATATCCTTGTCAACTGTGAGAAGTGAGAATTCATTGTACAGTATACAATAGTCCTTGACGTACAAAAGCAGTTGAGATGAGAATTTCTGCGACTTTAGCAAGGTGGTTAAGTCAGTCACACCTGATTTTAGAACTTTTTTTGCCATGGTTATTAAGTGAATCATGTGGTCCTTAAATGAATTCTGCTTCCCCCCACCCCCCCTTGACTTCACTTGTCTGAAGCTGGCTGGGAAGTTTGCAAATGATGATCACATAACCTGGATAAATTCATTCTGGTTGCCAAGTGCCTAAATTTTGATCATGTGACATGGGGATGCTGGGATGGTCTTAGGCTTGAGGATTAGTTGTAAGTCAGTATTTTCACTGTCAGCTTTTTGACCAGATTTCCTTTTAGGAAATTAAGGAGGTACTAATTTAAAATACTTTTGCACTGTATTGTATATCTTTTCTTTGTCTCAATTTTAATTTTAAAGAAGTGCTTGAAGGACAACGCTAATCAATCTGTTCTGACACCTTTATCCCATGATCCCTATCACAGTAATAAATTAGCAGAAGTTTAGGAGAACAGAAGTTCTGTTCTCTATTGTTTCATCTATCGGTGCATAGCAGTGCATCTGGAAGATGTGCATCTTGAAGATATGCATCTGACAGCACTGACAGACGTAGTGTTTCCAGGCTGTCTGTCTGGCTCAGAACTGGATTTGATGCCATCTGCTGAATCATTTATTAATTTCAACTATGTGTGGTTCAGGCATAAAAAAGGATAAAATGCAGAGATTCCATTCAGGTTTTCAAAGTTCTTTGGGAAGCTATTACTTGTTTGAGCAGCTGATACAAGCAAACAAGTTGGATTTTTGTGTTACGGACAATATTATATAATAAACTATCTTATGGTTTCCTTAGCCACACTT